CTATTTTTGTGTTCTGATCGATTGCTTTATTAGACCATTTTAGCTAAATAACTTTTGCAGAAACGAAGATTGGTCAGAAAGTTAAATGAGAAAGTTGTAGATTGGTGTGAAAAACGTTTGATTAGACAGTTTCGAACTTCGTACATGTTACTCATAAGTGTTTTTCTGGTAACTGCAAATGCCTGCGAAATAAATAAAAATTGGCCCGGTATCTGCGTGCTTCACTGCAAATGTCATTGAAAGACGATAGTTTCGCGTCTGGAAAGAGTGAACAAAACGTTTATTTGATGTTCTGCGCGAAAAATCGGTGAATTGTATTCTGGAGGCGCTGCGTTAGAAAGTCTTGATCTGTGCAGCGAAGGCGAACGAGCGCGTCGACGCACGTGAGACACGAGTGCTATCTGTCAGTTATCTTCGAGAACGAAGGAATTCGTGCGCGCCCGTCTTGGAGGCGGTAAGGTGTAGAACGCGAAGCGATGGACATGTGGCCACCGCCGCATCGTTTTAGCAAAGCGTTAGAAACACTTGCCCTTTTGAGCATCGCATTGCATTGTCAGCGCAGCGTGGTAAACGCTACGGTCTTCATAATTAATTATGTATGCCTTCTCTAGTAAAACGACACAAATACAAAATATTGACGTGTTGTTATAGTGCCTCAGATATTCGCGATAATTGCTTTTTACTTGACAATCGCACAAGTATGAACGCTCAAAACTTGCTGAAACTTGAGGAATATTGATGGGTGCTGTGGGTGGGGTTGGCCGTTTGGGGTATCGTTTAATGCCATTTGGAGTATTTATACGCGTCGGACAAACAGACAAACGTACAAGCAAAGCAAAACCTATGCGTCCAAGTACCCCCAAAAAGACTATCGTCTTCGAAAATATCATGTGACAAACCCCCTGGTGCGCCTGCACGCGCCGTGATTCTGGTGCTCTCTAACGTTTCACGTACGACCAATACGCTTCGCTCGCACCGGTTCATGACAGTGGTAAGCAGTCACGGCGGTCATCACTTTTGTGGCCGATAGCGAAACGTGTTTATCGCAAAGATACCACCATTGTTTCGGCCCTGTCGAGACAGCACGATCGGGCAAATGGTATGGTCGGCAAAACCCGTGGAGATCGCTCAGAGCCACTCACGAAATATTTAGTTCATTGATATGTGGGGTTTAACGTCCCAAAACCACCATATGATTGAGAGACGCTGTAGTGGAGGGCTCCGGAAATTTCGACCATCTGGGGTTCTATAACGTGCACCCAAATTTGAGCGATTGGGCCTACAACATTTCCGCCTTCATCGGAAATGCAGTCACCGCAGCCGGGATTCAATCCCGTGACCTGCTGGTCAGCAGCCAAGTACCTTAGCTACTAGACCACCACGGTGGGGCTCGCTCACGAAATACATTTCGAGCTTGGGACTCAGACTTACAAAATTTTCCTGAGCCGTACTTATTCTGACTCGCACTCACGAAAATTTTCTCTAACCAAACTCACTCGAACTCAAACTCACCAAAATATTATACTAATCCGGACTCACACAAACTCACACTCACTCCTCGATCCGAGTCTGAGTGAGCCCCAGAGATCCGACTCATGAGCCTGCTAGCCTGGAATTAGCTTCTGGACAGAGCTGTAAACGCTGTTTAACACCAATATCTCACATAATTGGTGCTTTTATTAGCGGAATTTGATATAGTACCTTCAAATACGAGTTATGAGTGCTCACAAATCAGTTGGATCACTTTTCTAGGAAAAGATGATTGCATACCATAGTTCTCAAGAACTTTCGTGGAAGAGTTAGTGAGGGTGAGGGAGACATCAAGGCACCCCTGATGTAATTCACGCCTCCGATAAATAAATATCTAAATGATGTATGATTGACACTGCTTTGGAATTCGTGCAAATAGATGCGAGTATAAACGTTGATTCAGGTAAAGCTGATAGTAATGCTGGAGCTGAGTAGATAGAACTGTAGGTGGGCAAAAGAAAGTTTAACTCACTTAGACCTGCTCAAGAAATTTAGGTTCAGCTTCAGACTCGCACTCACCAATTAATTTCTGGACCGAACTGACTCGGACTCAAGCCGATGAAACTTTCCATCAACCAGATTCAATCGGACTCACGCTCTCCAAAATATTTCACAACCGGAGTCACTCAAACTCGGACTCATGGCTTCATCTGAGTCCGGGTGAGTGCGATTGAGCCAATTTATGAGTGAGTTCACCGACCTATGGAAGCAATACGCAACATAACAAAGTTAGAGTACCACCAGTTCTCCACTCAGGAGGCATGCACGAATGTGCCCACTAAGTTTCAAACTAATTGATAAAACGTGCGATGAGTGACGTGCCATTGAATTTGGGGTGTACATTTCTACACACCACGACTGAAAGTTTAAAATATGAGACTTATACACTGCTGAAGAACGAACGCGTCCAGTGCTATCATGACTTAGTTGACAGAAGAGAACTAGTGGTGGGTCAAATAAAATAATTCTCTCTATACATTGCATTACTGGGTGGAAGGCAAGTGTCGCAGTTAAGTTTAATAAGAGGTACAACATGAAGGCAGTACAGGCCTACGTCCTACATCGAGTCACAATGATCATTTAGTTGAACGCCTCTATGAAGATGTAGAGCCAGCCATCAATAAAGTAAAGCCACAGTTAACTATTCTGATGGGTGATTTGAATGCCAAAGTAGCCAAGGAAGAGGCCCCAGACCATGCAGTAGAGGAACATGGCATCGGCTCTAAAAATACCAGAGGGGAGTTATTAGTAGTGTTCATAGAACTTAATTTATGGATCTTGAAAACATTCTTCAGAAGAGAGGCTAACCGTAAGTGGACGTGGCGAAGTGCTAATGGCGAAACTAAAACTGAAATATACTTAATTCTGTATGCATGTCCAGGCATTGTACAGGATGTAGAAGCAGTTGACAAGATCTGATGCAGTGACTATAGAAGGGTGAGATCTCGTATTCACCTAGATTTGAAAAAGCAAAGGCATAAACTGATACGCAAGAAGGCTAGTGGTGAGAGGGAAAGTACAAGAGTTCAGAGTTTCGCTTCAGAATAGATTCGAGGCTCTAAACGATGTAATCGACGTTAGCGTTGATACAGTGAACAATAAACTTACTAGTATCATAAAAGAGTGCGCAATGGAAGTCGGAGGTACAGTCACTAGACAAGACATTGGCAAGCTATTTCGGGTTAATCTAACTAGTATCATTAAGAAGTGCGCGATAGAAGTCAGGGTATAGACTTATTAGACAGGACACTGAAAAGCGATCCCAGGAGATAAAAAGCCTCATTAAAAGACGTCTTACTGTAAAGACCTCAGATGCAACAAACAAAATAGAACGGGGGGAGGGGGGCTTTAAAGTTAATCGATAATGTAAGATAGCTGACATAAGAAAATGAAACACAGAGAGATTTAAGCACGTTGTAAGGAGCGAGAGAAGCATCAAAGCTTGGAAGGCCAAACTGAAGATTGGCAAAAATCAGTTGTATTCATTAAGGGACGAGAAAGGTCAAGTCACAACGACTGTGGCTAGAACAGTTGAGGTAGCGGAGGAGTTATACAGAGATATGTACAGCAATCTGAACAACCAAGATAATAATGTAAAAAGCAGTAATAAACAGAGGAATCGGGCATCCCACCAGTAAACGACAGGAGAAGTAAAGAAAGCCCTATAGCGAGAATGCAGAGAGGCAAAGCCGCCGGTGAGTATAAGGTAACATCATACCTCTTGAAAGATGGTGGAGAGATTGTGTTAGAAAAACTGGCTCCCCTGTATACGAATTGTCTCTTGACGGTGAGGGCACCAGACGGGGAAGGTACCAATAATTAGAGGCCAATCAGCTTACTGTCTGTTATGTACAAGAGATTGAAAAATAATTAGCTAATATTTACATTGTTATTCACACTGCCAATGAGATAATAGATAAATGAGCAGAATAAAACCAACCCTCTAATATAGCCTTCATAGATTACGAGAAGGCATTTGATTCGTTCGATATATCAGCACTCATGCATCATGCAGACAGTGCGGACTCAGGGCATCGACGAAGTCTATATTAACATACTGGAAAAAACTACAGCAGATTCACAGCCACCATAGTGCTTCATTAAAAAAGTGACAGAGTTTCAGTAAATGAGCATATAAAACAGGAAGACACGATCTCCCCAATGCAATTCACCGCGTGTTTACATAATGTGCTTAGGGCCGGTCCTTGATCGGGAAGAGTTAGAGATACGAGTTAATAAAGAGTACCTTAGTAACGTGCGATTCGCTGAGGACATTGCCATTATGAGTAACTCAGGGGAGGAATTAAGCTCGTGATTACTGAACTGGACACGAAAAGTAGAAGATTGCGCCTGAAAATTAATATGCACAAAATTAATGTGCAACACTCTCTGCAGAGAACAGTGCCTTGTGATAGGTGGCGAGACTCTGGAAGTTGTAGAGGAATATGTCTACTTAGAACAAGTTATAACCGCGGAGCCTAACCATGAGTGAAATATCTAGAAGAATAAGAAAGGTGTGGAACACGTTCGGCAAGCATTCTTAATTCATGAGTGGTATGTAGTATGCGGAAGGTGTGTAAGAGCGTCATCTTACCGGCATTCGCCTATAGCGGTGGTCTTTAAAGGTAATTGACTAGATTTCAAGAGATTGCTCATGGGTGAGAGGTACATAGAAAATTGAATGGGCAGAGGGAATGAAGTATGTGTGCAAGTATAACGTGGCGGCAGAAAGCGCAGTACCGGCTTGATTTGGCACAACGTGAGAGAGGCCTTTGCCCGCTAGTGGGCGCATATAATTAGGCTAATGATTATTAAAATGATGAAAATCATGATGTCGCTTTCATCGTTAATAACCTGCTAACATGTTTTGTATAGCGATTAGAGTATTGTCGTATGCAGTTGCACGGTTGAGCGCTTTCACACTGACCATAAGTTACACAAAATATTCGCCTATTTTTATTTCCTTCTAGGAACTGGAGAAAGACGACATCAAACCCAATGATCTCGAGGCGATCCACGATGAGTACAGCAAGGTGAGTCATCAGGTTTTGTTCCATCTGCCTTATGTCGTAAGTGATCACTATTTTCACAGATTACCCGCTACACTGAAGAAAAAAAATCGCCGTATGGCTCTCAAGCTAAGCGAGGTATGGCTATCGTACACTAAAAAATCGTTTCAATGAACTTGAAGGGGGAGTCTATCTTACTGCTATTTAGTGCTTCTCTCGAACGACTGTACGCCCACACTATACCGCCGGAAAACAGCGAAATCTCGCTTTATGTGGTGTCCTTGAACCAACCAGATGACAGCTTTCCATAATGAAACTGTCAACCCTCATCCATCTTCACCATCGTCGTACGGTTTCACGAGTGGCGACGCAACGAGTCTTATGATGTGCCCGTACAACGCTCGTCATCGCACGCTAGCGAATGATCGTAAACAACGAACAAAAGGCTGCATTCCAGTGATTCCCATGAGTCGATAGAAAGACGTAACGCGCTCATATTTGCTGATGGATCTGCCAGTGAGAGTTCGTACGTACACCTCTGCCTTTCACGTATACCTAAAAACAACGAGAGTAGAAATTTCCATTTATCGCACTAGACGTCATCCATAACTTGGCGGAACTAATTCAGTTTCTGTAGACAACGTAACGTGAAAGCAATGGCATTGTGATTAATGAATGAGCTATAGATGCTCACTCATAGACAGCTATGGAGTTATTTGTGCAGTATTGCTCTTACGCCGAACCCTTCCCGCGGTCAAATACAGTGCTTTATGTGTGTTGTAACTCGCCGATAAACAATGTCCTCAAGTATTTTACCATTTTGGTGTGCCTTCTGCGCACTCGCAATTTCGCCAGTGACACTTAGCGGCTGGTGTGCCGCTTGTCAGTGACGTGACACTTTGTGCGTTTAGAACATTTCACATATCTTCGGGCGGGGAATTTGAAACAAAGCTGAAGAATCAGTCATTTAAAATAACTTACAGATTTTTTCGGCAAATGCCACGCAAAGCCTAATTTTTCACAACATAGCAAGAAACAATGGCGTTGCGAAAGTGCAATATACCCGCCTTCAGATTGCAGCTATTCTTCATATCTAGCCAGTCTAGCTGATTTGGAGTTAGTCATTTCATGCTTGCATCTACGCTCAATTAAGGGACAGCAATTCTCCTAATAGCTGAGTTGTTGAAGGCGGGCGTCGATGCTTTTGTGTCCACAAAAACCCAAAACCACTGCTGCGTAGGTATCATAAAAATTCGCCAAGCTCTACTACCGAGTACTCCAAGAGTGAATCAATTGTGAAACAAAAACTCTATTCGGTGAAGTGAAGCATGTGAAACATGTTAGAGAGATGGGGGGAAGAGGTGAAGAAAGATATTCAAAGATAAATCGAAGAGAGGGAGAGAAAGGAGCGCAGAGAAAGATAGCGGAAAACATAGAAAGAAAAAGAAAGAAAGAAAATGAAAAAGAAAAAACCAGAGCAACACTAAAAAATAGAGAAGTAAATAAAACAGAGAAAGGGAGAGAAAAAAACAGACAGCGAGAAACCGAAGAGAAAAAAATATAGAAAATAGAGAAAAGAAAAAAAAAGAAGGAAAGAAATAAAAGGCAACCGGTACATAATACTTATAAAAGAAATAGGGAGAAGAGAAGGCGAAGAAATATTTTAAAAAAGGCTGTTGTTAATTTCGTCAGGCTTGATACGAGATGTGCAAATCTGGCACATTTGATTTTTGTTATCTGAGGTAAAGTGCAAGACGGGACAAAGAAGAGAACACAAAACGCATATAAAGCGCTAACTTTCAAAAATTCGTTTCAACAATTCATTGTTAAAAGTTAGCGCTGTGTATGTGCTGTGTTGTCTTCTCTGTCCCGTCCTGGATGTGCTATACCTTAGATGCTATGAATAACCAACTAGCCCGCCGTGAAGCCTCCGTTTATTTTTGGATGGTAAATTAATACTTCAAAAGACTATTCACCAACGCGAGAATCAAACCTGGGCGTGTACGCAACCACGACGCGGACTGTTTACCAACGCGCCACGAAAATCCTATGAGAAACAAAGTCTCTGGCAAGCGAAGACGTTGCACACAATAACTGCCTGGATGTGATGATGCACATTAAAATGTTTAGAGACGCATTGCGGCATTCTTACGACAGCACGGCTACGCCGGAGCCAATTAGGTCGTAACAAAGACATGACAGTTGAGTATGAAATAGAGCCTCGTGCGTGCGCATGTTCAGCTGAATAGATAGTTAATGTTCACCGTTAGCGTGATAGTGGAGGTTAAGGGAATGGCGTTACCATGCAGCAAACATTCGTTGTGGACAGCGTCTTATAGTTTAGTGGTATAGCGTTTACGTTGTTTACGTGCTCCAGCTGGAATTGTGGTGCCACCTATCGAAGGGTTGAGAAGTAAAAACAGTGAAAAGGAAAAGAAAACGAAAATGTTTGCCTGTGTCACTACGCGAAGCATTGTTACTAGTTTATTTAGTAATAATAAAAGCAAATATTAACCACGCACCAAACGTGAAAACATTTATGGTGCTGATTTGTTTACATCGATCTTGTAGTTAGGCCTAGACACGGTTAAAATGGGAAGCGATCCCAAACACTACACCAACTTATTCGTAATACTCGGACGTCGAAGCTGACTGAAGGCAAGCGAAGCCGCTTTAAACAGTCGTTTGCCGATTGATTGATATTTGAGGTTTAACTTTGCAAAACAACCATATGATTATAAGAGACACCGTAGTGGAGGGCTCCGGAAATTTCCACCACCTGGTGTTCTTTAACGTGCGCCTAAATCTGAGCACATGGACCTACAACATTTCCGCCTCCATCGGAAATAGTTGTTTGCCGAGAACAAAGTGAATCTTTCAACAAATACGCCAAAATCACTGAAGTGGGCGTCCGAGAGTGCCGCCATGTTTTACGTACACTACGTACACCTACGCTAACACGGTAACGTTAAATCTGAAAAATAGTGCACGTACGGTAAGCGGTACCACGGGTAACATACGTATCTGTGCATGCGCACTTCGATTCCGCTATCATGGTACGTTCGGTATCCCGCTAAGCCCGGTATACTCTGTCTAATATTACGCCTTTGCAACGCAAGTCACACGATCTGCGGACGAAGGCGTCACATGTCACGGCAGCACCAGAGCCCGGGAAAAGGGCGGAAGCTGAGTGCTGCGTTGGCGAAGTGCGGTGCAAGGCAGCGTGCGTGCGTCGCGCCGACTCAGCAGCGGGGCTTATTCGGCGAGTCGCCGCACATCCGACGCTACCTGCTGGTTCAAACGAATTACAAGTAGCCTTGCACACTGCCTTATGTTGGCGCGTAATGTCTAGTGAATTACGACTGAACAGGATCCACATTTACAACAACTTGTGGCGCTAAAAATGTTCGTTACAGAATATTGAAGACAACTACGACGCGGGAAATAATATTGCTAAAGTAAACCTACCATATATCCGTGCGCACAATGGTTGAAGAGGGGAAGGGTGGCCTCCACTCCAAGTCACATAAAAAGAGAGGGGGGGGGGCGAAGTCAGCCACATACATTGACATAATAGGGAGAGGGTGCTGTCACGACCCCCTCCCCCCCACACACACCACTGGAGGAACCCTACTCACGCCTAGGTGACCGACAAACGGAGAAACGCACTTACGAGAGAGAAGTTTGGATAATTAGAACCCACATTGGCTGCAGTCGTTTAAAAAAAAAACACACACTTTTTTTGTGTTATAGTGTTTAAAGAGAACTTTAAGTAGATTTAGGTGGTGAATGTGGCCCATTTTCCAGAAAGTAACTTAGCTGCCGTTGGTTGCAATATAAACGCTACACACCCTTTCTTTTGCGTTGTCGTGCTCCGGTGTTTCTAGTTTCATTCAAGGGTGCTGTAAAATAGCTTTTAACAGTGGAGCTGTTTAAGCTAACGGTTAAACGGTTAGTGCGTGCAGAGAGAACAGAGAACTACTATCATCGTTCACCAGCACGCCCTGTCTTCGTCCTTCAGTTGCCTTCACCTTGACTCCCAGAACTCGTGCGGCTACTTTTACAGTGCGTAATGCAACAACTCTTACGACTGGGACAACGAGTACAAAGAGAAACAATGAGAAAAGGGCAGAGATAGAAAGAGAGAAATAGACTGAAGAGAACAAAGCCATAAAAGCAAGAGATTGAAGCGAACGCAAAAATAGATGAAAAAAGGGACAGCAAGACATGAAAAGCGAAAGAAAGGGAGTAACGCAAAATGCCTCCATTTTCATTCATTCATCTATTCATTCATTCATTCCAACGTTAAGAGTACAACGGCCAAAGTGTGCGTGTCAAAGAATGAAGTAGAACACACAACGCTCTCACGGAAAGCTTTTCTCTCATGTATGTATTTTGCATTCGCAGGTTGCCTTCGCTAATATGTCTAGCATTGGCATAGCCAGGTGGGGGGGGGGGGGGGGGTAATTTTTGCATTTCTCCCCGAAATTCTAAAAGTTATCGTGTACATATAAGATGAAAAACACAACGCACGAACACACACACACACACACACACACACACACACACACACACACACACATATATATATATATATATATATATATATATATATATATATATAATATAGAATTATTCCAGTCTGATGTCCCAGTCACTCTTAGCGAGTAAACTACAAAAGCCACAAAACGTCGAAATCGGAAAAAGCCGAGCAGAAGAAACAGAGACAGAGAGCAGAGACGTGGCTCAATTTCTACTGCTCGGCTTTTTTCGATTTTGACGTTTTGTGGCTTTTGTAGTTGACTAAGTATGTACCAACTTGCCCAACAAGCAACTCTTCTAACTCTTAGCAAGTGCTGTACTGTTCTGAGTAAGATCCTTATTGCACACTTTTATTACAACATTGCAACTGTATTTTAACACTTTACAAGCGCCAATTTTTTGTCAATGGGCTCTATCATCATTGATGCAGTTGGTGTCGAAAGGCTGGTTGTAAACTTGAAAGTGTCATCATCGGCTGATCC